CCACGTGTCAATTTCCAATTCATCTCTAACTACCATGCTTTTGTCACCGAATTGTTTTAATATAATGTTTAAATTAGTTTAAAGTTGTTTAACTTTTTATTTGAAGCATTTCAGTTATAAATTTTTTTACTATAATATTATAATTATTATCTAATCACAATAAAGTATTATATAAGGATCATCCCTTATAAATATGGGTTACATATAAAATTTTGATAAATTGTACATAATTTTAAATTATAATTAATTAATTGAATTATAATAATTGTAAATTATATGCTCTCTTTTTATTATATGCAATAAAAATAAGTGCTACTTTTATCCTTCTTTTTTGTTGTTGTCAAATTAGGGAATTTAACTGTTCTTTTACGAAATAAAAAGCAATAGTTGTGTAACTTTTTTTTTTTTTTTTGCTAAGCCATATTTTCGTTAGAGATCAAAAGACCATCATAAGTGAAATACAAGAATCTTACCAAGAAACATAGTTAAAGCCATACCAGAAACAACAAAAAAACATCTAGCACAATTCTAACGAAAGACTTCCACCTAAAAAGAAGAAATCATGACATCCAAACAAAAAAGAAAAAACAAAAAACACTACCATGGTCGGTAAACAAATAACGAGAGCAAACACCACTATCCCTTACAGAACAAAATCACCACCCACCTTTGCCATGACTTCTACCGTATCATTCAGCTTTTTAAAAAAATTTTATCAAACTGGATGCCCCAATTGATCTCTAAAGCATCACAATTTCAAAAAATATAGACAACAACTTTCATGGTCGATGATGCTTTTTACATAGGGGCACTTCCATATCCCAAAAGCAAACAAATAGCAAAACGCTAAAACTCCCAACATTAACCTCATAACCAGTATCATATCCTTCTAGAAAAGCTCTATTTCGAGAACGAATATCTTTATCCGATGAGTGCTCTTGAACATTGGAAACTAGAGGTGTCTTTATCTGGCGAGACTTGCGATTGGATCTTGTCCAATATTTTGCCTTACCTTTTTTCCTTCTTTTACCTGCTCGAATGGTAGTAACAAGGTGAAATTTTTCTTCGACGTTGAAAAGTTTCTCAGCGTCTCTATCACTGTTGCTCATAAGCTCAATAGAAACTCCTGACCAAGTTCCAGAGATAATAACATACTTGTTGGGAAAAACAACAATACCTACGCGCAGCAACCACACACAAAATAACAAGCTCAAATCAAGAATAAGAACACACAAATATATTTGGTTCGGCCCAACTCAAAATGGCCTACTCCAACTTAATCCACTATCAAATAAATCTTTACAATTGTGAGACTTTTAGAATGAGAAAAGTCTCCTAAAACTCCTTACTCAAAACTTAACCCAACAATTACACCCTTTATATAGCCTACTCACTTAGCTATTCTCTGGTGTCTAACTCTCTGAGCGTTACTAAACTAAAACCAAAACATCTTATTTATAGGGGTGAAACCCTTTATACCTTTTACTAAACTCCCGATGTGGGGATACAAGATAAATTCAAACTTACTTAACTTTCGATGTGGGATTCTGAGATTCAAGGCAAATCCCAACAAATCCTCCTTGACTTGAATCTCCAAACACTTCAACAGTATCTGCAAAGCTAACATGCTTACCTTTCTTCTTTTCTTTCATCAACAGGCATTCCAGCAACTGAGCCTCCATCAAACATGTACAAGTGATTGACCCTATTCCCTGTAGAATCACACTACCATTCTTGTACACTTTCAACCAATCATTACTACCATAATATGTGTACCTCGAGAAGCTAACTCACCCAAAGCAATCAAATTGTAGTGACAATTTGGTACATACCTTACATGACGAAGTGTCCTAATAACACCATTGTGAGATTTAAGGCGAACACTCCAATGCCTTGAATCTGCACATTTTCTTTGTTAGCAACCACAATATCCCCATACTTTTCATTCTCATTCAACTCCACAAAGCAGCTCCTATCATTGCAAACATGAACTGTAGCAGCTGAATCTAAAACCCAACCTTTGTCACTTTTCAAAGTCTGGGTCTCATCCACATAAGTTGTCAAAACAACATCATCATCATCAGACAAAATAGCAGCAGTATCACTCTTTTCTTCATCTGATTTCTTCTCATCATTCGCCCTTTTGAAAGCAGCCATATCCCTTCTCAGCTTCCTGCAGCGCACTTGGATATGTCCCTTCTTACCACAATAATAACATTCTACATCATTGTAATCTCTGTCTCTTGACTTAGATCTCCATCTTGATCCATCAATCCTCTTTTGAGTCCTCCCTCGATCAAAACCCTCTACAGCTAGTGTACTCCCCCCAGGTGATGAGTTCTGAGCTCCCATAAACCTTTCATTCTCACGCAACAGGGCAGTCACATCATCCAACTTCAAAGTAGACCTACCTACCAAAACAGTCTGAACTAAAGGCCTATAAGACTTGGGCAAAGATGACAGCAAAATTAAAGCTTTCTCTTCATCTTTTAACTCATCAACAGAAATCGCTAGCAATTGAGAAACCAATTTATTAAATTCATTCAGGTGATTATGAAGACTCATACCTTCTTCCATCTTCAGAGAATACAGATCCATCTTCAAACATAATCTATTAGTCAACGACTTCGAAGCATAAATACCTTCAAGCTTATCCCACAAACTCTTCGGAGTACTCTCAGTCAACACACTGTACTTTACTTCTGGAGCTAACGCCAATCTAATAGTACTAACAGCCTTCTTCTGAATCCTATTCCAATTAGCATCAGACATTCCTTCAGGCTTACTACTCTCCAATGCCTGATCCAATCCTTGTTGTACTAACAGATCTTGAATCGTACTTTGCCATAACATAAAATTACTCTTTCCATCAAATAACGGAATCTCAAACTTAGACATAGACATACCAGACATACCTTCTTCAGACATCTTCAAACACTGCTTCACGATCTCTTGGACCCACGAACCTAGAACCTCGAACCTGGAACCTCGCTCTGATACCACTTGTTGGGAAAAACAACAATACCTACGCGCAGCAACCACACACAAAATAACAAGCTCAAATCAAGAATAAGAACACACAAATATATTTGGTTCGGCCCAACTCAAAATGGCCTACTCCAACTTAATCCACTATCAAATAAATCTTTACAATTGTGAGACTTTTAGAATGAGAAAAGTCTCCTAAAACTCCTTACTCAAAACTTAACCCAAAACCAATTACACCCTTTAATAGCCTACTCACTTAGCTATTCTCTTGGTGTCTAACTCTCTGAGGTTACTAAACTAAAACCAAAACATCTTATTTATAGGGGTGAAACCCTTTATACCTTTACTAAACTCCCGATGTGGGATACAAGATAAATTCAAACTTACTTAACTTTCGATGTGGGATTCTGAGATTCAAGGCAAATCCCAACAATACTTTCCTCTGACAAGATTTGTTCAATGGCATTTGTTGTATCAGGATATCTAACTATCCCAACAGCATTCCGGTGTAATCCCACCAAATCTAAATTTTCAGGAATGTATTCAAGGATGTTAAGCGATTTTAAAACCTCTTCTTTTTTGACCATCAGATACAATGTTATCCTTTAACTGAGAGTGTTTGACAGACATATGAACCACCTCCGCATAAGATCGCCCATCTCTAAAGTCTTCTATGCAGCTAACACCTTTTTCCATGTGGTGAGTGGTGGGTTTAGAACTAGCATGAGACCTTTGATCATACCTTGCCATTTGAACTTATAGAGTGGAATAACTCAGGTGCTAACCATTTAGAAATTTGACAGCCCTCAATGCATCCCGTAGATCAAGATAATGGACAAAACCAACTAAGACATTTTTGCCTCTCTTCTGATTTTTTGGGACATAAAAATCAACCACCCTCTCACATCTCACAAAACATTGCTTGAGATTAAAGAGACTACATCCTGGAAAAATTCCATCAACAAACACTGTAACAAAATTTTTTCTCCCAAGGTAATGTTCTTATGTGGCCTTCATAGCATCCAAGAAGAGCTTTTTGACTTACCCTTACTTCACCCTCTAAATCGGACTAAGGCAAGGCTTTTCACCCTCTAATAATTGTGTAATCGAAAGCATCATTTTAAAATCTTTTTCATTAGTCTCACATTTTTGGTCATCATATTACTAAATTTTTTATTGCTGTAGGAAAATGTGTACAGTATTACTTCAACAAACCTCAAATGAACCTCCTCTGGTAGAGCACTCGAAAAGTTCTATCAAACCTTAGGGAAGAAAGAAAGTGATTTTCAAACTAAAAAGAGTACATGTACTTTTAACAATCGTTTAATAGAATCTTTGTATTTTGCTCTTTTATTATGCATATAGTCTAAAATGAAAGAAATTTTATCATTTCTCTTGAGTCTTTTTTCTTAAATGGCATAGATAAAAATTCTAATTTTTTTCCAAATATTTACACTTTCTCAAAGAAATTAATGTAAACATACTTTTATTTTTTTTATTTTCTTCATTTTTATCTTATTTCTTTTTCTTTAATGAACAATTTTATCATCCAAATTTTCTTTAATCTATTTTATCATTAAAGCAATTGAGATAATTAAAGAAATAAAATTCCCACATAAATGGAAAACATTTTAAGAATATACTAGAAACCTTAATAATATTTTCTTTTCTCCCGACCTTTTTTCTATCTTCTTTTTCCTTTTTCTTTTCCTTTTTCCTCTTTTGCACTTTATTACATGTAAGCATGGAGCCTTTTTATCATTATAAAAGTGAAAAAAATTTATAAATTATATATACATTCCAGATCATCAAACAAGAAAACTTGAAGTTGTTTCATATTTATAATTTTTTTCATGTTTGTCCCCATTCATATTCGTATATGTAAGTATTGCATTTACTTCAACTTATATCATAGATTCATGAAAAACACAACAAAGCAAAACAATTAATTTATTTAGTGTATGGAAAGCTTAGAGCTTTTTTTTTTTTTCTTTTTAGGTAAATTACCACACATGAGCTCTGCTTCAAATCTTGAGGAGCTTTACTTATGGAGAAATAATCTCAGTGGAAATATTCCTGACTCTATCTCCAATGTTTCTAAGCTCAGAATCCTATTATTAGAAGAAAACTCGTTCTATGGCCTTATTCCAAATACACTTGGCAATTTAAGGTTCCTTGAGAATTTGGGCCTTCGGTCGAATGATTTGACCACCAAAATTTCAACTCATGGGTGGAGCTTTCTCTGTTCCTTGGCAAATTGCAGGTATCTAAGAATTTTGAACCTATCATTCAACCCATTGAATGGCATTCTTCCAACTTCTATCTCAAATCTTTCCACATCACTTCAAAAATTAAAGGTCGTTGATTGCAAAATTAGAGGCAGCATTCCCATGGAAATCGGTAGCTTAAGCAATGCTATATTCTTAGACCTTTCTTCTAATAAATTGAGTGGACCTATTCCAACAACAATAGGAAGGCTACAAAATCTCCAACTTTTGAATCTTTCTGGAAATAAGTTACAAGGCTCTATCCCACACGATCTTTGTGGTTTGAAGGGATTGTACAAATTATCATTGGGTGCTAATGAGCTTGATGGACCTTTACCAACATGTTTGTGTTATTTGACTTCTCTGAGACATCTATACTTGTTCTCCAACAAATTGCATTCGCAAATACCTTTAACTTTTTGGAGCCTTAAAGATATCTTAGAAGTAGACTTATCATCAAACAATCTTAGTGGTTCACTTCCACTTGATATTGGAAATTTGAAGGTACTTATCACTTTGGATTTGTCAAGGAATTTATTATCAAGTGATATTCCGTCCACAATTGGAAGTCTCTATGATCTACAGGTTTTGAATCTTTCTAGAAATAGATTACAAAGCGCTATTCCAAAATCATTGGGTTACTTGATGAGTTTGAAAAGCTTGGATTTATCTAACAACAATCTCTCTGGAGTCATTCCCAAGTCTTTGGAAAAACTTTATGATCTCAATTATTTTAATGTGTCTTCCAATAGATTGGAAGGAGAAATACCAAGTGGAGGGCCTTTTCTGAACTTCACAGCCAAATCATTCATGAAAAATTATGCACTATGTGGTTCACCAAGACTACAAGTCTCACCTTGCAAAAATAAAATCCATCCAAAATTCAAGAAGACCGCTCTTCATGCTTTGAGGTATGTTTTACCAACATTTGCTTCAATAATAATAGTTGTAGCTGTCATAATTGTCTACAAAAAAGGGCAGCGGGGGAATACGAATTTGGCAATGGTTGAAGATTTAATTCCTCTCAAGAAAAGGAGAAGAATTTCGTATAACCAACTATTGCAAGGAACTGGTGGATTTAGTGGGAATAACTTACTTGGTTCAGGAAGTTTGTGGCTCCTGTATACAAAGGATACTTTCAGATGGAACAGAAAGTGCCAATAAAAAGGTTTTCAATTTGGCAAATGGAATGGAGCACTTAAGAGTTTGTGACCGTTGAATGTGACAGTGATGAGCAATGTCCTTCATCGGAAATCTTGTCAAGGTTATTACCTTGTTGTTCAACTATTTTGATTTCAAAGCCTTAGTGCTTGAGTTCATGCCTAATGGGAGCTTGAGAAATGGTTATATTCTTACAAATTATGTTATTGGATATCCTAAACAAGAATCACATAATGATAGATGTTGCATTCCGGCATTAAGAATACCTCCATTTGGGACATCCGATTCCTATAATCCATTGTGACCTAAAACCAAGTAATGTCTTATTGGATGAGGGCATGGTTGCACACGTGGGAGATTTTGGAATTGCCAAGCTATTGGGAGAAGGAGATTCCATCAAACAAACAATGACACTAGCTACTGTTGGCTATATGGCACCAGGTGATTTTTTTTCATTTTTTCTCTATTCCAAGACGAGTAGATATTAGTATTTTATCATTTTATTGATGATTAATGATGCCTGAATGGCATGAGATCGTCTTAATGATTCAATTGTATTTAAAATACAGAATATGGATCGGTGGGAATTATTTCGACAAAAAGTGATGTTTATAGCTATGGTATTCTATTAATAGAGACTTTCACAAGAAAGAAGCCCACAGATGAAATTTTTGTTGGAGAAATGAGTATAAAGCATTGGGTGAAAAGGTCATTATCTAATGAAATAATTGGTGTAATAGATTCTAGTTTAGTGCAAGAAATGGATGAATATTTTGTTATTAAAGCAAATTGTATATCATCTATTATGAGATTAGCTTTGGATTGTTCAGCTGAATTACCTGAAAATAGATTAGATATGAAGAATATTGTCTCCACGCTGAAGAATATCAAAAGAGAATATCTTAACAACATTACACAGGATTAATTAATATGGTAAGAAATGCAATTATATATAGTTTAAGCTTCTATAAAAGTACATAATATATATTTATCTAATTTTCTTTTAAGATGGTATTCCATTAGGCTTTATATTTTTTTGCAGGTTAAGGTTGCTACTACCAAAATACATATTTTGGTTCAATAATCAAGGTACTTTCATCACTTTTGAACTTTTAACCATATATTTATTTATTAACTTTGAACTCTTTATTAAAGTAATTTTTTCTTAATAACATTTTAAATTTTGTTGTAAAATTTAAAATTGTAATTGCATTAAATCATTAAAGAGTTTAAATAATTATGAGATTTGCATAGCCGGTGAATTTCAATAACTTCTATGTCTAAGTAAGGAGGCATCATAGTTGTAAACATATAAAAAGGATTTTCTTGATTAATAAATAACCTTTTAACCTGGATGTGTGGTTACATATATAGGAAGTTAGGCTCATTTTGTATATTTGTGTTTTCTTTTATATTTCTTTTATTAAATTCATATTATTTCTCAATACATATAATTAATTTTTATATGTTATGTATGATTAGAGGTAACATATACATAGATTATAATTTCTATATAATTAACCATAACATAAATTATCATGAAGAGAGTCAGTAAGTTAAATTAATTTTATTTACTTACGGTATTTATTAATATAATCATTGATTATGAATACTTTTTCGTTACAACTCTTTTTTATTTCTATGATAATATAACAAGTACATAATTTTACATAATAATAAATTTGTATTGATGTATTTTCTTGTACAAAAATTAGGACTCATATAATTGCATTTTTAAGTAATTTGGATTAGATGAAAATATTGGCTCGTATATGTGTCTATATATATATATATATATATATATTAGGTGATTTATGATTGAGTATGGAATTATATGTCTTTTATAATTAATTAATTTATGCCGTATTATTTTTATAATTGATTATTTTTTATTGGTATTTGAGTAATAACTTATTAATGAATTTTAACTCAAATAAAAATTATTAGAATTATTATATAATTAGTACATAACATTTCATTGTTTTTTATTTTTCTAAGATATAATATTGTTATATATGATATTAATTAATATACATCATTTTTCTATTAAGAATATCTTTAGTTAAGAAGGTTATAATAAAAATGTATTATGGAATTTAGAAGAATAAAGAAATTTGAAAAGTTAATAAAATAAATTACTCTAGAAGAAATCAATTTTATCTATCCATCCCTCCTTGCACGGTAACTTTCTTAAGAGACTCAGAAATTATATTAATAATTAAGCATACCGTTATAAATACAAAGTTTTAAAAACTTTCTAAAAAATAAAGTTTTAAATAATTATTATAAATCAAAACAGAGATAAATGTTAATGCATATCTACTCACACATACATTATAACGAATATAGATATTAATTTTTTATATAAATGGTTATTTACTAAAAACTCCACAAAAATTTTATAAAATAATATTTCTATCATTTAATATTAATTAATAAACACGTTTTCCTTACTAGCAAACATTTTAGTTAGGAAGCAAATACACCAATGTACTTTCAATTGTAATGAAATTCAAAAGCGCATAAAAAAAAATTAGAAATCAATTTTCGTTAATCAATAATCATTACTAGCTAGTATCTTTTTTTTTCTAATCTAATAACAATAATATTATTATTTAAATTCTTAATTACTTTTGTTTGTTGAACACTGAAATTAGCTATTTTATTTTGTTTGTTGAACACTGAAATATATAGCTTTTTTTTTTTTTTGCTTAATATGCAAAACATGTTTTATTTATTTTAATAAATTAACAATATTAATTGTATAGATGTTAATTACAATATTGTTAGTATTGAACACATATTTACATACTTAAAATAATATTCATATACGAATTTACCATATAACATATATATTTATTGAAATTAAACAATTTTAAAGATAAAAGTATGAAATGACTTTACCTAAAAGTGAATATTAATTTATTAAGTATTTGCTTTGATAAAATAGATGTTATTAATCACATAAGCCATTATTGAATTTCTATTGATTCGTTTTGCTATCGATTTATAATTTTAGGTTTTTGGAATGTTTAGAGTTAGTCAATCATCATTTATACGTACTCATCTAAGTTTATAAATTATTGTCTCTTATTTTTATATGGTATGTTGTTATTAATTTATCAACTATCAGTATGGGCATTTTTCTCTATTATTCACAAACCAATTTAGTAAGTATGATGAAAAAGAATAATAATAGAGGTAGGTGCAAGCTTCTTGAAGTTCATTTTTTCATTTCACTTTATTATTGTTAGAAATTGATTTTCAAAATATGAACGCAAGCTTCTTGTCCAAAAAAAAAGAAAAAAAGGGAACTGATGCAAGTTTTGTAACTTTATTGCAGTCTGTAACTTATGAATTCAGCGTGGAATAGATTGTGCTGCTCCTTCTCTTATTGTGATTGCATAAAGCTTGAGTGAGAGATTTATGGTGTGCTTGTGCATTGGAAGTTCACCTTCCAATGGCGTGGAATGTCTAAGAAAGTTCATGGAATCATGGCCAAAAGTGGTGTGGTGTTTCTACTTGAGAAATGCGATCATCTTTGTTGCAATGATTCTTTTTTTTTTTATTTTCTATTGAAGGAACATTAGAGTGATGTTTTATTTGGAATCCATAGTATTATTGAATCATATTTTGAAAATAAACAATGCGAAGTTTATTTAACTTCATGCCAATGGTTTTCCTGTTACTTTATTCTATGAAGGTGTCAATATTTTTTATTCAATAAATGGTGAGTAGCTAAAATACAAGTAACTCAACTGAGAACATATGATATAATTGTTTATATTTTTGTATTCAGAAAGTTGTCAATTTTTTCTCATTTTAGAAGAATTAGTTTTTGTTCTTGATATACTTGAACTCTTGATTTGAAGTAAGGATTTGAAGTTAAATAGTCCAAAGACATTTTTTGCTAAAATGTTTTGGTGCATAACAATTCCTAATCATTTTTCTATAAATTTCCTCATGTTTTCATTTGTCAATTATTAATTTTCTATAGAATTATTTAATAAATTGAAAACAAACCTTTGAAAGGAAAAATGTCAATGTCGTCATTTGGTTTAAAATAAAAATTGTTCATGAAAATATCACTATTTTTTTTTTCATAAATGATGGGGAGAGGAAAAAGCATAAAATTAATGATTTCAAAATAATGTGAATTTTTTCTACTTTTTAATTAATGATTTGAAAATAACGTTTAAAAAAATATAAATAAATTTTATTCAAAAGAACTTCTAATATCCTAGTAACTAATGAGTTTGATTAAAAATGGGTAGGAAAAGAAAAGTTATACAAATTATATATATTAATTCCAATTTTTTCATGTTTTATTTAGTTAATTATTTGAAAATAAACTTTTAAAATAAAATTATATTTTATTAACTAATGCCTTGAAAATAAATTTTAAAAGAAAAAAAAATGACTCAATTTTATATAGAAAACTTTTCATATTTCACTAACCATTAAATCGAACTAAAATGATGGGGAAATATTTCATAAAATCTGAAGTATATTTAAAGATCTTTTTAGTTTGATCAAAGTCTATATCATCCAACATATTTGAACTTTATCATAAAAAAAGGGGCTCAATTTGGACTACTTGGATCAAAGCCAATTGTCTTAAAGGAGAAACTATTTGGCAGGTGTTTGAAACTCAAAATTGTAATTGAAGTTGGGAAAAACTACCATGGCTACGCTCAGTTTACAACCCTAAATCCCAAATAAAAAATATCTAATGCATAACAAATCCAAACCTTTGAAATTCAATATTTCTTTAAATCTAATATCAAACAGAAAATATTTGATAAAAAAATCAAACTCAGAACAACTCTTCCAATATTCAAAGCCTTTGTTTATGGTTTAGTATTTTTAGAATTTACATTTTGCAGATTTTATTTTTGTTCTTTTTTCATTGTAAATATATCAATAATTTCACACAAATCAAAACCTAAAAATCAACCAAAAACAAGGTAATATAAAAACCCCATAATTAGCATTACCTTTCT